TTATGAATTTAATGAAATTTTATTATATTTAATGAATATCATTAATAAATTTCTAAAAATCACAGATCCTTCTGTCGTCTGAGAGTTGGGTGAGATGCTCTCTCGACAACCAGGCAGGACAATCGGTATCGTGGTGGCCTTTCAAAGGATAGTTTTCTCATGAAAGCCAAATGTTCTAGATTTAGACGCGCGGTAGGTTGCTTTGTGGTTACAAAAAAATGACTGGAACATTATTGATGATTACGCAATAACTCATTTTTGTTCATTTATAATTTCGCAGAGGCCGAGGCAATAAGGGGTAGGTATACACTGGCGTATAAAAGGAGAAAAATGTGCAGCTCCTGTAAAGCAAAAAAAGGTATTTAACGGAATTTAATGAAATATCTAAATGAAATATCATTTAATAAATATTAAATATCTTAGGACCTGCTATCATTCAGGAGATGGATGGGTGCTTCAAAACAACCATCGGTATTGTAGTGGCCTTCTAAGGATAATTTTCTCATGGATCTAGATTTAGACGTGGTAGGTTTCTTCGTAGCCACAAAAAAAATGTCTGTAAATGTTCTTGATTTTTGATGATTCTGACGTAATTACTCATTTTTTTTTATTTATAATTTTCACAGTGGCCGAGGGAAAAAGGGGATCGATATGCGCGGGCGCATGAATGGCGAAAAATTTGTGGGGCAGTGCAAAGCCTAGAAAAAAAAAAAATAGGTATTTAATGGAATTTAATGAAAATTAATTATATCTAAATGAATATCATTTAATAAATATCTAAATATTTCAGGTCCTGACGTGATCCGAGAAATGATTGAGGCGTTGGCAAGTGAGCCTTGGCCAACGATCGGCGTGCCGTGGTGGTGGGGTTGACGGAAGATTCATTTACCAGTGGCGCGGTTAAAGCGGCCGAAAAGCAGGATAATCATAACCGATAGTGATCAAATATAGTCGCTGGTCTATTTAAAAGAAAAAGATATTTTTTAATTTTGTATTTTTATTTGTATTTTTATCATTATGTACTATATAATTTCCAAAATTCTAAAATACTTCCTCTAATTAATTTTAATACAAATCTTGCTTTATCTTCCATAACATTATTTATGATCATGTTTTGTCTTTACTTTGTGTTTATGTGACTATGATATTTCACGCGTGGTGGGTTGCTTATCGAATATGCTATTCATTCATTTCCTTTCT